AATAGAGATATGTGACCTCTATATGTAGACGTACTTTTTGATGTAAAGATTAATCCAAAATAGTGAAGATGTAGCCATTGGGCTTTGGATATGTAGACGTAAAGCTTCGGCCTGAACCACGTAAATTCTTGTATTATTTTTGTTCTCTCTTATTCTCTCTCCATTCTATGTTCCCACAAATTCTAACATGGTTTCAGAGCAAGGTTCCCTTCTTGGTGGTGCTGCCCAGGTCTTCTTTGCAGAGAACCAATTGTCCATATCCAATAAAGAAATTAGCTCAACTTTGTGAATACGAGGAAGAAGAGAGCCAATTGTCCATATCCAATAAAGAAATTGGCTCAACTTTGTGAATACGAGGAAGAAGAGCTAAAGAGAGAAGCAATACCCCACATGTATACGAGGTATAGTGATTGATTTCTTGGAGACTGGTAATTGCAATACCCTACGTATATACGAGGCATGCGTATATACGAGGTACAGTGATTGCCAAAGTTGTTTTCCCATATGAGAGAATAGGATTAATCTAGAGAGAGACTGGTTCTAGGAGGTTGGGGTTTGGCCACATCATCATCTTTTTGAACTCCTCAAAGATGACGCTTCCATCACCGTCCAAATTGACGGTCGAGTTCATCTTGCAATAATCCTGATACGAACACTTCTCACCAAGCTTCTTCAACACCATGTGAAGCTCTTTGGTTGAAATCGAACTGTTATTGTCGAGATCGTATATCGCAAAGGTGTCTCTCAAATCCACCATGCTCGCATTGCTATCCAAGGGAGCTTCATTGTTGATCACGGCAAACTCCTTGAGCGAGATGGAGCCAACATCGTCGGTGTCGGCCTTAGCCATCACTCGAGCCAACTCTTCATCAGAGGGGTTCGATCCAAGGGTTCGGAGCATCGCACTGAGGTCAACCCCCGAGATCTGGCCGTCTCGTTGCAATCGAAACCGTTTGAAAACCTTCTCCACCTCTTCTTTGTTGGCTAAGCAGAGCGAGTTGTTCACGTCCACCACAACCATTATCGTCTCTTTTTTTCTCTCGTAGGTTGCAGGAATTTTGGGTATTTGAGTATTCTTCATAGTTGTCATGAGAGGTCCTCCCCCATATTCACAGATGGCAACAGTTTTTAAAAACCATGAGGTCATAGCTATCCATGAATGGCACGATAATGATATCTCTTATATTAGAATGGTAAAGTGGATGAAGTAAAAGAGCTTATCACAACGGTAAAAAATCGATATGCGCCCAATATGTCTAGGTCATGGGCGAAGCTTGAGGCAAAGCTTGGATTGAGCAAGAGCATTGAGCATGAGGAATCTATGACAGACGTATTTGTTGACAATCATGAAGTTGAGTTTGTGTCCTTTCAAAAAAAAAAAAATTGAAGAAGTAGAGAACAAAAAAAATGGGTGGCATTTTTTTAAGGTTTTCTAAAAGCCTAATTTCATTGGCTTTTTTTTTTATGTGACTGTACTAAAAAAAAAAGAAATTGTATTTTACAAGTGGGGTGTTTCTTCGCATCTACACCCAACTTGAAAAGGAGAGTAGAGAATAGGAGATATGGAGATGAAATGAGTAAAGATGAAGTCAACATCTTAGAGTAGAGAATAGGAGATATGGAGATGAAATGAGTAGAAATGAAGTCAACATCTTTAATGTAACCGCTATGTCGACAAGAAAATCCAAATTTTGGCTCAGTCCAACTACTATGTAAAAGGAAGTTATGGTCATATTTATTCAAGAGTTCTGTCTCCAGATAAGGAGATGAAGATGATCGAATGAGTTCCGTTTCCAGATGATGAGGAGATGAAGATGATCGAATTTTCCGATCCTGGTTGATGATCAAGTTTTCCGCTACTTGATCCCGTTTGATGATGGAGTTTTTCGTTATTCTATCTTGTGTGATAATCTTTTTCTCTTAGAGAGAGAAAGCATCTAGAAAGAAAAAAAGCTTATAAAGAGAGAGATCTTCAGAGAAGAAAGTAGAGAGCCCAAGAAAAGTTGTTTCTTGGAAGACCTTAGAATGAGAAAGTCTCTAGAAGAAAGTAGAGAGCCCTAGAAATGTTGTTTCTTGGAAGACCATAGTAACATGTGATTTTTTTTGGTAACTTAGTATTATTCAAACTCGAGCTGCTTTGTGTCAAAGCATCTTGAGTTTGAGGGGGTGTATTGGGATATGGATATCTTGGATTCATATTGATGAATATAGATGTATATGTATATTGATGAATATAGATGTATATATATATATATATATCTATTGATAAAGTTAGGTATCTAGAAGATAGAGATGTGTGACCTCTATATATATACGTACTTCTTAATGTAAAGATTAATCCAAAATAGTGAAGATGTAGCCATTGGGCTTTGGATCTATGGACATAAAGCTTCGGCCTGAACCACGTAAATCTTGTGTTATTTTTGTTCCCTCTCTATTTTGTGTTCCCACAAATTCTAACATTAATAATAGGGTGTGGTTTGCTGATGATGGGGGAGGAAAAACAAGAATCAACCCCCAAAATTGGACCCTCACAAGAAGGATGATAGTGACAACAAATCATAGGATAAGCAAAAGAAAAAGACTTACTATTGTTACGAAAATCCATGCCCCTTCATAACTAAATGTCGAAGGCTCAAAAAGACAAAAAATGAGAATGCAATGACAGATGAAACACGACTAGAGCTGAAGGACAATGATTGTGACTAGTTGGGCTGCTATGAATGCCTCTTCCCTCTCTTTTATAGAGAGCCTTGTTATATATCTTGTTAGAGACTCCTAATTAATCAAAGAAAAGCTTTTTATGTTCTCCTTACAATATAGAAGTTCCATCCTCCTCATACCATCCAGCCACCCTATCAAGAGAGCCACTCACCGTTTGATCTTAGATCCGACGTCTTAAAGTATTTTATTTTTAGTTTTTTTAATACGATCTTTCTTAATATAAATTTTGGTATGTGGCATCTTCTCATTGGGGCGCACCCATAAAAAATATTAACAATAAGTTTTCGATAGAATATAATGACCAAAATACCCCTTAAAGCTTTTAAGGGTGTTTTGGTTATTTTATTTCATTAAAAATATTTTTTTATATTTTTCGTTAATGCGAGTTTAATAGAGGAATGGACGCCCAAAATTTGGTGTCAAAATAGTTCATAGAAAAAAAATTAAAAATAAAAAAATGTAGAGGTGTGACATTGTGATTGGGGGCAATCTTAGCCCTCCATTAAAAAATGGATGGTTGGATAAGGGGGAGGATAAAACTTTTATGTTGTCAAGGGAACATAGAAAGCTTTCCCATTAATCAAAGCTTTCCCATTAATCAATAGATTCTCCAACTCGGTTAGTGTGGATGGTGTAAGCCATCCTTGCAGCATAGTCAAGAGCCCATGAAACTTCGGTCCTTCAACTTCGTCTTTATGTTATTCCTAATATGACCCAAACTTATCTATGTATATCAAAGCTAATCCTATCACTAATCTTTATTAATTTAGATCTTTCTATTACCTCCTAAAACTCTTATACAATTTATTATTTCAGGTTAGTCCATGGTGATCTTGCACGGTTTTCGCCCTCTGGCTGGGGTTCAAGTTAAAATGGCATACAAGTTGTCAAAAATATAGCATTTTTATTATGGGAACAAATAGCCAATTTATGAGTGTAGGCATACAATATAGAAAAAAAACCATACAACATAAGAAAAATGTAGAATTCTATACCCAATGTCATGTCCCATTTATAGCCAAACCATCAATAATACATATATACTTTGTCCAGCTCCTAACGAATAATAAATTCAGCACATTATCTAGCTCCTAACAATCAAATAACCAATAATAATGGTTAGATGTGATAATGCCTGCAAGAACGCAAAGTCTACATATCTGAGGCACTTATATTGGAGACGAACTCAATAAGACATGATTTGTTATTGATTAAAAAAAAAGTTTGTATTTAATGAGACCATTTACTTTTAGTACTAGGAGGTGACAATTACTTACAACCATCTGATGTGAAATCTGACAGCTTGGGTGTGTCATAAAGTTCGAGAAAATTTCTTTGGAACTTTAAACTTGGTCAATAAAATAAATGCAACCACCCAATTTCACATCCAAGAGTCAAGATTAATTGTGACCACTTGTATCAAAGGTAAACAGTCTTATTATGTACTTTCCCTTAGAAAAAATATCAATGGGATAGGGCAATAGACAATAAGAAATAAATAAAGGGTGAGGTTTGTATAAGGTGCCCTATAAATAAGATACTTTAAAATTCTTGAAAATAGATGTTCTAGATAACTTGTTGCGAGATGCACTATATTTCGGATTTGAAATTCCTTGTTTTCTTTATATCTACGCATTTTGAAGTCAAGATGATCAATTTGAGGGTCTTCCACTATCGAAACACTCTTTTCTTGAGGATTTTTCAGGTGCATCTTACTTCAGTAATATAAGGTTGAAACCTTATATAAGCTTTTTAAACTAATAAATACAAGAAGATGGCAAGG